TAACTTGCAAGGCGACGAAGGACCAGAAATAACTAAAGAAGAACTACTATACGCTATAAAAATAATGAAAAATGGTAAATCACCGGGTCCAGACGGGCTCACATCAGAACTCCTTAAGCTTGTGGAAGGCGAATCAGTGAATATTCTACTCGACCTTTTTAACTGCATCTACAAAAGAGGAGAAATACCAAAGGAATGGCTACTTTCAACTTTTGTAACCTTACCAAAAAAGGCAAATGCAAAACAGTGCACTGACTACCGCACTATAAGCTTAATGGGGCATACATTAAAAGTATTTATCAAAGTAATCCACTCAAGAATGAACAGAAAACTAGATGCAGATATTAGTAATACTCAATTCGGATTTCGGAACGGGCTTGGAACAAGAGAAGCACTATTTGCACTTAACGTCATATGCCAAAGATGTCTAGATATAAACCAAGATAATATATATATATATATATATATATATATATATATATATATAATATATATATATATATATATATATATATCCGGTTTTTTAGGCGTTACGCCCGTCCGGTAGGGATCTATGAGGAGTATCACCGAGCCGCAAGACCTTATCTCTTGCCGTACTGCTCCACCATAGGCCGATCAGATCCCAGCATATCCTAGTCTAAGCCGCAGATTCATCTAGAATTTTAAACTGCTGCGTTAGACTTTTTGTTTTCAGTACACCGAGCTGGGGCTCGACCCACATCCACTAAACCATTCGACAGTGAAGCGAATGAGAGGCAGCCGCACAGCCCGCTGAGCTATCTGACCGACATATATATATATATATATAATATATATATATATATATATATATATATATATATATTATGCTTTATTGATTACAACAAAGCGTTTCATAAAGTTCGTCACGATCACTTACTGAAACTGCTAGTAGAAAAAAACTTGGATAAAAGGGACATTAGAATTATCTCTAAGATTTACTATAACCAGAAAGCAAATATCCGAATAGAGCAAGAGACAACGGAGGAAATCGAGATCAAGAAAGGCGTAAGACAGGGTTGTATACTCTCACCGACCTTATTCAATCTATACTCCGAAGACATTATAAACACAGCACTTTCGGATCAAAATATAGGTATTAAGATAAATGGCATCCGAATAAACAACTTGAGATATGCCGATGCCACGGTACTAATCGCAGAAACTTGGGAAGATCTTCAAATACTAATTAACAAAATAGTAGAATGCAGTGAAGAACTAATCCTGAAGGATTGTCACTTAACATAAGCAAAACAAAAATAATGCTAATATCTAAATCACCACAAAACTTCCCTGACATAACCGTGCATGATCAAAGAATCGAACGTGTAAGAAGATATAATTACCTGGGAACTGTTATCAACGAAAATAATGATTGCTCTGAAAAAATCAAAACTAGAATAGAGAAAGCTAGAGCCACATTTACTAAATTGAAAAAGGTGTTCTGCGGAAGAGATCTAAGTCTAAAACTTAAAATTCGCCTTTTGAGATGTTACGTTATGTCAGTTCTTCTCTACGGGATAGAAACATGGACATTGAAAAAGATTGATACCAAAAAGATAGAAGCATTTGAGTTGTGGATGTATCGTAGAATATTAAGAATACCCTGGACAGAGAAAGTAACAAATGTGGAGGTTTTGCGGAGAGTGCGGAAAGAGAAAGAGCTGATACTTACTGTTAAAAAGCGCAAACTACAATATTTGGGACATATTATGAGGGGAGATAAATACCAGTTGCTGCAATTGATTATACAGGGAAAGATAATGGGAAAGAGATCTATAGGAAGAAGAAGGCATTCATGGTTGAAAAACTTGAGAGAATGGTACAATTGCACCAATTACCAACTGTTTAGATCTGCAGCATCAAAAATACGCATAGCTTTGATGATAGCCAAACTTCGGAACGAAGACGGCACTTGAAGAAGAAGAAGTATTTTGATCTATTTTCTTATTTTATAAGATTGTTTTATTTTAGATGCAATATGAAGAAAGATACAGAGAAATGGAAAACGTGGATGACCGATGAAATACTGGAACTTATGGATCAGAGAAAAAAAAACCAAGAAAATCTCCAAGAATGTAAGAGAATACATACCATCGTCAGAAGAGAAATAAAAGAAGCCAAAGGGAAACAAAAAACAGAACAATGTCAAGAAATAGAAGAGTATCAGAGTCGATATGATAACTTCAATGTTCATCGAAAGGTGAAGGAAATAGCTGGAAAATTCCGAAAACGCAACAGCGGAGAAATAACAGATGATGAAGGCAATCTTGCCATAACCAAAGAAGATAAAAAGAAAGTATGGGAAAAATACTTGAAGAAACTTTTCCATGACCTTAGATGAGCCCACCATTGAAGAAAATTCAGGTCCTTAAATCCTACCAGAAGAAATAACGGAGACCAATGAAGGATGGAAAGGCACCGGGACTTGATGAAACTGTTGAAGCTATTAGATACCGAATAGATGGAGAATATACAAATCAGTTTAAAATCTTAAGGGGAGTGAGACAGGGGTGCATAATTTCACCACTGATATTTGGTGTGTACTCGGAGCACATTTTTGAAAAGGCTCTAAAAGATATTGATGAAAGCATCTCAATAAATGGAGTCAAGTTCAAGATAGCAAAATATTGTAGATACCCAGCTAAAATGGAATTCCCTAATTAGAAATGGTTTTTAATCCTTCCGTCATAATATTCATTATGAAAAGAGTATAATGCTTTTTGGTATGCAGTTTCCTTTTCATAAATTGGTAATTTTCGTCGAAGGCCCGTTCTTTTGACAATAACTTAATCCCAAGTATTGTCTGTTTCTTATGTCCAATTGTTAATACCGATTATTTTACCTCAAATTTCCAATAGTCGTCAAGGCCTTACCTTCTGAGAAACACATACAACTGTCCTATCATTCTTGAGTGGGGGAATATTTTCTTCTTCCTTTTTCAGGGACAGTTGGTGAAATTTTTGGTGGAACCATTTTTACTTGTTGGTGGGCCGTTGTTGAGTTAAGGCCAATATCTCGTGTTATGCTTTGCTCACTTTATTTCTTATCGTATCGTCTTTGTGAATTATTTTCGAAGTGTGTATACACTTTATATTTGAGTTTTCTTTCCTTAGACTATATTAAATTATATATAGTTCTACACTACCTTTAATGGTTATTAAATTCAGTGTTTAGTACCAGAAAAGTATTAAATTCAGTGAATTAAGCTGCCTTCGTCAAGATCTACTGTAAGTAATTTTATCTACAATTATCTGGGCGAGTAATATGGTATGGTACCATATCACCTGACATTATCTGGACGTATCATCTATATCTTCACCTGAAGATTGCCGATTTTTGAATGTAATTGAACCATTCAAGAAATTTCTATAAATATTACCTATGAACATACAAGTCTCAGTTTTTTATTAAATAATAGTGCGAGATAGTTAATTGACTTAGCCAAGTGCGGTTTGGTTTATGTTTTCATTCTTGTAACCTTTTTGTTTTTTTTTGTAAATTTAGAGTTAAGTAATTTTTGCTATCTTTTGTATTTCCTATAATTTTTGTTCATTATCTTTCCTATGATATCTCGAGATACGCCAAACTATATTTGTATATGATTGCCTTATACATCTTGGTAAAGGTATTTTTTTATTACATTATAGCTTAATTTTATACATATATAACACCATTTCATAGTTGTGTATTTTTATTACCTGGGTTGCATTTAGCAGCATCATAATTTTGTGTTTAATATATTGTTATTGTTTTATGCATGTATTTTATTTGTCGGCTCCTAACAAGTTCCCTGATAAAATAATAGCTCTGAACAATTACTATCTTTAAATATTACTATGCTTTGAACTGTAGAAAGATCAGGCTGATTAAGTTTCGTAGGTAAGTAAGTGTAATACTTAATATATTTATTATTTGTTTATATATTGCGTTGACCAGATTTATTTGATAATTTACTGTTGGTATCTTTCCTTGGGTTTGATCTCTGAACCTAAATATCTTTTCTTATCTCTCTTCTTTTCTAAGGTTTTCTTAATTTTCTCCTTAACCCCAAAAAATTGAGTGGCGCCCTGTTTCTATCTTCTCTTATCTTTGGTAATTTTACCCATCTATCTTTTTGTTTATTTCTGTATCTTTTCTAATATCTCTTATCCTATCTTTACCTATTTCTTCCGTTGGATCCATTCCCGGTTCCAAAAGCTAGTTTCGAACCCACGACTCGCTCTCCACCAACCATCTGGCTGCCGTCCGCAGTGTCTCCATTGGTTATCTTTCTAGCACCACCCAAAAAAGATTTCCGAGGTTACAGTACAAGGAAAGAATACTCTGGAAATACCAGTCACAGAAGTCAAAGACCAAAATGCCACTGAACCTCTAAAAACCAAGCCAATAAGCTGAATTTTGCTGAGAATGTCAATTGTGTGACTCCAAAAAAGATGCAAAAAAGTGTGCCACTTCTATTCCCGAGCTTCCCCCTAAAACCGTTAATAGTAAGGGGGAACATCGATACGCCGCCCGTAGGAAAAAATCAAACAAGAAATGTAGCTGAGATCATTTTAAACAAAAATTTTTATTCTTACATCTTCTGTAGACTAAACCGTTCACTCAGAAACAACACTTGGAGCTACGGGCGATTTTAAATGTGTTATACGTGCAAAATAAATTTTTTTAAATAAAATTTAATTCCAAAATTTCATCAAAATCGATGCGTTTTGATGGAAATCGAAGTTAAAAACCTTGGTACACTGCAAGCACACAAGCTTTATCTTCAATCACAAGAACCAGATTGAAAAGCAGTTGTTATTTTAAAACTTTGTCACTGATATACCATTTATTATAAGTGAAGTATTGCCAGTTTGCTACACTAACCAAGTATATTTTCAAAACAAAGGGATTTGACAAAAACGGATTTAAAATGTACTTTTGTGTGTGTTAATTGTTAATAGAGTTAATATATAAATAATCGAAAATATATATCTTACCGTACAGATATTAACGGTTTGCTGACTTTCGAACAATGACTTCTCCTTTGCTCCCGAATTCGTCTTTCCTCTTCCTCATTTTCCGTCTCCCCCCTCCGTTTAGGTATGTGATAATCAATAGGCTGTTCTTGTTCAGGTTCCTGTATAATTAAATTCGTAGGTACTCGCGTATCTGTATCCTCCTCCCTCTTCGTCGTAGACTTGGGTGTTCTTTGTATCACCGAGAACTGTCTAATGGGAGCCAAATTTGCTGGACGGGGTTTATCTTCTGACGGTTTTTGTGCGGGAGGAAGTGTGACTTTTTCTTGTTTGAAGAGAGATGGGTATTCCTTTCGTTCAGCCCGTGTGAGCACGTGACCTCTGCTTCCATACGGTTTATCTCCGCCAAGAATGGAGGAGATAAACCGACGAGGGGGTATATTAGACGGTTTGGATGATTCCGGGGGAGGAGTTTTTGATTTGGTTCTTTCTTCTTGCTTCCTGTCATGATCTGAAAACCAAAAAAGATATATGAAGTTTGTGTTTTGAAACTCACTGGAAATTGTAGATACTTACTATATACATACCTATATAAAATTTATGTAATGTATACAATTATCTTAGCATAGTAGCGTTAATGTAGAACTTGTGTAAAATCATAGAAGTTTAGAAATAATTTATTTAGGAAATATGTTTAGAAATGGATTTCAATTGTTCAAAGATCCTTGACAATCAATCATTAGGTATAAAAATAAATTACTTATATTCGTTATGGCCATCCAGATATGTGGATGATATAGTTTGATATGTTTGATATAATTATATCAAACATTAGAAACTTCCAAATGTTAAATCGTATAGACGAAGGGAAAGGGTAAAAAAAATAAACGGAAATAAAATAAACCTATTTAAAATAACCTAAAGTCTATTCGTAATCAATATTCAAATCTTAAATTAAATTTAATGAAGTATATATTAAAAGTGCCAGCAAATGTCAGCTCATTGTACTCGCCAGTAATAGATAATGTATTACTGACTTACTTATATTATTTTTAAGTGTGTGTTGACGAAATCACTGATTCGTCAGAAAAATATATTGCTCATTTAATGATTGGTGTTCTTAGCGATAAAATCTTACCAAAATCCTATTTAATTTCATGCAAGCAATTATACTCTGCATCAGTATCACGTTTTGCACAAAAAGAAATATCAAAATGTTTTCTTCCAGCGCTGTTCCATAAATTATTGCTTTTTTTATCTGATGCTGCAACATATTATGGTCAAGGTAGGACAAAGGTAGGACAAAAAATATTGTATACCAACTTAATACACGTCACTTGTTTAGCACATGGAATAAACAGAGTTGCGAAAGAAACTATAAAAAAGTTTCCTTGTGTAAACTCCCTGATATCAAGCATAAAAAATTATGCCTCAAATTTCCTATAAGGATTTAACTTTATAAAGGAATGCTTCTAAATATTCCACCTCCACCAGAACCCATTCTAACACGATGGGGAGCATGGTTGGAAGCCGCTTTTTTCTATTCAGACTATTTCGTAGATTTAAAAAATATAATTGACGTTTTGTCGGATGAAAGTTCTCAATCTCTGCTAGATGCTAAACAATTTTTTAAAAACAACGTCCTTCAGCAGTAACTTTCGTTCAGTGAATAAAATTTTAGTTTGTTTCAAAAAACTATGAGGTACTTAATTAGAATCGTTAAAGTTGTTTTTGGTAGGGAAGGCATAGCCTCAATAAAGAAGTTAGATCATCTTGTCAAAATGCTGAAGATATTTTCCAAAAATTTGAAACAATAATTAAAAAAAACACAAATGGTTTTCCGAAACTTACTGAGGTAGCTGACGCTCTTGGTGGTAATTTTTGCGAAGAAATAGATTTAAAACCAAATTTTTTGTGAATTTACAATATGCTCATATTACATCCAGTGATGTGGAAAGAAGTTTCTCAATATAAAAATATATGTACTTAGATAGAAGCCGTAAGTTTTTATTGGAAAATTTTGAAAAGCATTTGGTTATTTATTGTTTCCAATAGTATTTTACTTTTTTACTACTTTCATTGTAATGAATTAGATCATTGCAATTACCTACTTAGTTTTTAAATGTATTTATATTGTTTTCTAATTATTAAAATAAATAATAATTAATAACCATTATTAAATAGTTTCCATTGACAGTATGAGTATTTTCTAAAAAAAGAGCATATTTTCTAAAAGAACTGCAAATTTAATGCACATTTTTGGGTAAATTAGGTAAAGGCTTAAACATAAGGAGGTGATAAAGGGTATAACGCTAGCTAAGGGCGTTGCAATAATTTCCTAATGAAAATGGAGAGGCTTTGATATTATCTTCATGAAAAGATGGAGAAACTACTGATGATGCAGATGACAGAGAAGCAGCTTCAAGGAGGAAGCATCATATGTGAAAAGGAACGAATGATTTCATGCTGAAGCAGATTCCACACACTTCCACAGGTGAAGTACCGCAAATCTCGTTTAAGCTAGTCGGGGCTAGTTTGACAACTTTAGGAAAAGGTCCGGCATTCACTATGTTGTCAGATATGGTAAGGCAGCAAGTACGGATGTGAAGGCAGCTGATGTTGGCATCAAAACTTTTTTCCGAACTGCTAGAAGCCAAATGATACATTCCTCAGAAAGTCTTCAACAGTGATGAGAGGCCTTTTTTGGAAAAGGATGCCGAATAGGACTTAAATAACGGCAGAAGATAAATCGATGCCAGGTCGCAAACTCATGAAGGATAGATTAACTCACTTTGCGCCAATGCTAATGGCCTGCAAAATCAAGCCTCTGCTAGTATACCATTGGGAAAATTCCAGAGCATTTAACTCACATAGTATTTTAAAAGAAAAACTGCAAATTATGTAGAAGGCAAATCTAAAGATGAGAGTCACCAGGAAATTCTTTGTAGAGTGAATAAACCTGGTGTTTGGCCCTTCTGTTAACAAATATCCACAGGAAAACAACTTACTCATGCAAGACCTTCTCGTCCTCGACAATGTCCTTGTTCACCCACCAAATCTCGAAGAATATTTACTGGAAGGGTTTAAGTTTATAAAGTTTTTCTACATACCACCCAACACCACTACTATACTGCTCCCCGTGAATCAGCACGTGATTTCTAATTTTAAGAAATTGTACACCAAGTACATTTGAGTTGATGTAGAACACAAACCTTACCCTTCGAGAGTTCTGGAAGGACCATTTTAAAATCGTGATATGACTAAGAATTATTGATCAGGCATGGCTTGGTGTTTCAAAAGAGGACCTTGACCTCTGCATGAAAGAAGCTGTGATGAAAAAAGCGAAGACCAGTGAGGAAAATTAAGCATTTCCGTAAGCGCTTCACTTTTTATTTTATTATGTTTTTATTAGAATATGTATTTGTTATTTAAAAATAAATGTTTCTTCTTGTAAATACATTTTCCTTATTCAAACACACTTGACAAAAACAACTGAGGTGGTGTTTTGGTAGCTGGAGCGGATTAATGGCATTTCAGTTAATTTCAATGGGGAAGATTGCTTTGAGATACGAGCAATTTGATATACAAGCAATTTACGGAACGAATTAAACTCGTATGTCGAAGTACCACTGCATTTGATATGCCGATGCAACTGCTGCCGAAATAAATTAAAAATCTAGATAGTGCAACGAAATTGGTAAACAATGTGCATTTAAAGCAAGTCACGATAAACTAAAAGTGATATCATTCTCTTATTTCCTCACAACCTAATTACCATTCGCTAAAAAATTATTTTTAGGTTAAAAGTCTTTAACCAGTTAAGTGTGAAATTTTACATATTATAAATTTGCAAACATTAAGATAAAATTTAAATTTAAAAATATGCTCAACAGACGAATTAAAATATTAAGTTGGCATTTTATTCCTTAATAACGGATTTCATGAATATAATGCTATAATCAACAATACATTAGAGATTCAAGGTTTTAAAAGCTGGTAGTTTTCTATGGGTTCAATGAACGCAATTTGACGTATTTTATATAACCTTGACAGTTCTACAGGTTACACTGATTGGTTGGTTGATTTCGATAAGTGATTTTAGTATTTGGCGCAGATGGTTCGTCAACTATTTTTCTTTCTATCTGTCTATTATTAGGTATATTCGGATAATTAATTATCACATAAGAAACAGTATTGTTTACAGAATTTAATGCCTTTTTTAATTAACGTCTAGTATAAACAGATTCGGAATCCGCCAACCAGCGGTGAGGAACATGAGTTTTTAATGTAAACTATGTACATAGACCAGTGTTGTTAGCAGATTTGTTTCAGCGAAAATCTCTGTATCTAAATAAAAGGTAGTTAAAAAAGATTTCTCTCCTTTATTTTTGTTAATTTCTATCCTTTAGATTATGAAAGGGTGGTCCGTCCTATCCGGGAATTAATGCATCGGAAAGTACGGATGGATACAGAAAAACTGATGACGCATTACGATTGAGCTTTCGAAGTTATCTAAAAAACTAGAAATAGGCGTCGGAATTTTTAATTTTACCCAGAAAGTAATCTTTTTTGTTTGTATTTTTATATAAGTTATATTATACTTTCCATTTATATTATATTTACTAAGAATGGAAGGACTATTACAAGGAACTGTTAGAACACAGACCACCATCCATTGGAAAAGAAAACATTCGAAGACGAAGCAGATCCTCACAACAATATATAGAAATGAGATACAGATAGGGAAACAGATAGGGAAATGAGAACGGCCATAAAAGCAATCAAAAATAAGAAAGCACCGAGACCTGGAGGCATCTCACCTGAGCATATAAAGAACGGCTCAAAAAAAATTACACCGGATGATAAAATGGATATTTCAGAAAGCCATAACAACTCACAAAGGAATGTACGGAGGCATATATGACATCTATATTTAAGAAAGGAGATAAAAAACGATGCGAAAACTACAGTGGAATAAGCATAATATCATCAATAGGAAGATTATATGGGAAGATACTGCGAGAAAAGATAGAGCAAGCAATAAAAGGCAAAATCAGGGTGGATCAGGCAGGCTTCATGGCAGGAAGATCATGCATAGACCACATACACACACTGGAACAACTGTTGGAAAAGAAAAAATCAAAATATAGAGATATACATTTGGCATTTGTGGACCTGAGAAAGGAGTATGACTCTGTATCAAGGTCAGAACTATGGGAGGCAATGTACAAATTAGAAATACAGACGGAACTCATAGAAGCTACAAAAGCTCTGTATAAAGAAAATAAAGTGTCCATTAAAATGGGAACAAGAATCATAGAAGACCTCACCACAACAAAAGGGGTTGCAGGGTTGTTCCACATCTCCAACCCTATTCAACTTAATAATAGTATGGTGGGATATACACCTAAATATGAATACAAAAGACAGATTTATAAAACATTAGTGCGAAGTATTATGACATATGGGGCTGAAAATTGGATTATAAAGAAGAAAAAGATAGATATAGAT